GGAGGAGAGAGGGGGTTGTGGTCTGCTCTTGGTTTATGTCCTTGCTGGGAAAAGAAGGGGGAGGGGGGGAAAGAGCAGCCATTGAGTTGGTTGTTCTGAAGTGTCTCTGCTCTGCACGTTGTGATAAGATGCTCTTTGTGAGATGAGCCTGTGGTGACATTCGGGAGATGGCCATGGGGCAACGTGTGTCCCCTGCGGAAGCCACCGAGACCTCTCTCGAGCCCTGGGGTCGTGGGGCTGGGCTGTACGCCGTCACTTTTCTCACAGCAGGAGCAGTGAGGCCGTTTCAAAATGCTGCTGCTTTGTGGTGGTTCTTGCGGAGTCCGTCCAGCGTGTGTTACCTGTTGGGTCCTGGCCCTGCAGCCCTTTCATGAGCAAGGCTCCCAGCTACGATGCTATTCAAGCTTCCCAACAAAGCTTTGCTTAATGAGGTGCTGGTTTTTGCTCTGCCCCACCCCTGCAACCTTTCATTCGTTTAATGGTGCTCTGTAAGGCCCGGGGTGGTTTTACCTTCGAGCAGGCAGGGGCTCTAAGATTTCTTTTGCTCCGGCTGCCGTGATGGTTTGACATCCTTCCCCTCTGGTGTCCTGTCCCAGGCTGGGGGCTGGCTGGGTGATGGGGAGAAGGAACCTGTCTGTAGGACCGAGTTTAACTTCTATGTAAGAAACGACCTGGGTGATGGTCTGAGAGTTAAGATGAAGTTAGATTAATCTTCCTCCTGGTGCTTCTTCAGCGGTTGGGGTGGGCTGGGGTGGGACTCGGGCACTGCGGATGCTGAGTGCCTGGGTGGGGTTTGCTGTAAGTTGACGTAGGGGACCCTCGGGCTTTTCTCATTCCCTGCCTGCGAGAGTTTACGGCTGCTTTGGTGAGACCTGCAGCGTCCTTGGGATGTTTAATCCAATTCTGACCCCGAAGCGCTTCAGAGAGCGTTTAAACAGCATGGCACCGTGGTGTCATGGCACAGTGGCGTGCTGCCCTCTGGGGACTTTTTTTTTTTCCCCTCCCTTCTTTTCCTTTAAGGTTCTCCCGCCGCAGTGGGTTTTGCCGCGGTGCTGCCGCGTGCCGAATCCAGCGCGCCGGCTCGCCTTGCTTTTGTTGTGCTGCCAAGTGTCCATAGCAGGGGAACGATTGATAGCCAGGAGTTGGATCTTTCAGGGTTTGCTATAATAAATGTGTGTTTGCAATTCCTAACAAGCATTCCTCGGGCTCAATACGTGTTGGTAAAGCTCCCCATGCCCCTGGCTTTTATTGTAACTTGATAATTGCCATTAATTATAGCAGCCGAGTTTGAAACCTGGGGTTCTTGAGGATGCGATGGTTTAGCTTCTCATGCAGCAGAGTCCTTTATGGGACATCTGGTCGATTTTCTGGACTAGAAAGGAGATTTTGACTTTTGCTTGAACAATATAATGATCACATGTGACCGAGATTGTACTGAAATCGGATACCTCCTCTCCCCCTGTGTAGTTTCCAATGGTGTAACTTTTAATAAGAGTCTGGGGCTGGGTGATTTATTTTTCCCTGGTGCTCATGATTGCTGAAAGAGGGTGAGAGCTTCACTGAAGTTAACCCGTGCTTGTCATCACGGAGAAGTAAAAGGAAGAAAACCACTTACACTCGAGTCTATCTGCCATATTTCAGTTTGTTTATTCTCCATTTCAACTTATTAAATAGGTCTGCTTGAAATGTAAGGCTGTGTAAATGAGACACAAAGCACGTGGTCTTCCCTGCCTTTTCTTGTGTGTACCGAAGGAGCTCAGTGTGCGTTTAACTCCCGTTCCAAAAATAAGTACGTTTTGGATCTAGCATCAAGCCACTACTATTTATTGCTTCAGCTTTGATCATCAAAAAGGCTTTTCCTACTAAAACCACAAAATTCAATTTTGGATAACAAAGAGAGCCATTCTTCTGCTGTTACTCGTTTACTTGATGAACTTCTAAACAGGAAACTTTAGCATGAAGTCAAAAGATCATCTCCGTCATGTGTATAAATTTTAAAAAAAACTCTCAAACCCTCTTTTTTTTTTTTTTTTTTTTTGAAGTGGACCTTTTCATGGCTGTAATACTGCTCTTAAACATAGGAAAAAGTCTTCAGTAAGCTAGCAGGCTCGCTGTAGAATTCAGAGTAACCAACTGGCAGCACGAGTCGTTGTGTGGATGTGACCATCTGTATCACGAGCTGGATCAATGGATGATACCCCAGAGTCCTTTTGTCTGAGGATCAAAGCATTTGGCTCAGGAAGTGAAACTGTCTGTCCAGGGATCAGTGTCCAGCCACTGCATTTCCCTAGAGAGCAGGTTTTAGCCGCAGACATGGCTGGGTTGGAGATGCTCCTGATTTCTCAGTGAGGTGCAGTGGCTTGAGAGTACCTGGGTTGGTGAGAAAAGGCTCTTGGAGGTGTTTGATCCCAAAGTTTCCATCTTCCAAGCTCAAGCAGTGTCGCATTCAGGCTTGTGAGAGTCTGAAGAGAGGCTCAGTCTTTTCCTCATTAGATTTATTTCTGCAGCCATGGATGCCTGGGGAGTGGAGGTGAAGAAGACGAGTTGTATTTTGTGCCCGGGTGGTTCCCCTGGTCAGGGTTGTGCCTGTCCCCTGGGTGCCGGCAGCGCCTTGGCTGGTGTCGACATCCCCGCGGCTCCTCCGGACGGAGCTGGGGAAATACCAGGGAAAGGGCAAAATCCAGCAAAGCAGAAACAAAAGCTCAGCCCCGTGACTCATAATTGGTGGAACATTTGTAGTAATTTTTTTTTTTTTTTCCCTTCCCCTCAGACTTGGCTCCCCCACCACATGCCAAGAAGCTGCTGTACCCGTTAGACTTGCCAGGCTTGTAGAGGGCTGTGCTGCCGCGGGAACTGGTTCAGTACGGTGGGGACGTGCTGGAGCAAACGTTGTGGGCTACGGGCTGTGGGATTCCCTGCCTTCCCCTAAATCCCACTGGGCTATCCCTGAGAAAGGACCCTCTCTCAAATACCACAAGATACCTGTGCTCCACAGCGCCGTGCTGTGTTGATGTGTATTTTTGACTGAAAAAAAAAACAACCATGAATTGCCACGAGGAGTCATGGGAGCTGTTGTTAGTGGTGGCATTAAATTCTGGAGGTCCTAAGGTTTAGCACAGGTAGGAGAACAGAAGGTGATATTGCTGCTTGGGAGCCTGCCCTAGGTCTCCATGCTGACTTGACCATCACTCTTGGCTTCTGCAGGTCTGGGACAGCTTGTCCATCCTCCAGAGACTGCGGAAGTGTTGGGGCATAGGTTTTCTTAGGAGCAGTAATAAATACAGATCAGTAATTAGCTGTAGGAGCAGACAGGTAGTGATGGGTGCAGCTCACCGCTGCTATACAGCGAAGTCTCCTGCTGCTGTGCAGAGATCCCACACCGCTGGGTGTCTCGTTGAAGATACTTAAGACTGACTGCTGCAGGCATAGTCTTCCTTATGATCCCTATTTTTCCTCAAAACGAGCCACTCGTCATTAGAGCCTGCCTCATGTGCCCCTACATGGCTGCTCGTTGCCCCGTGGGGAGTCGTCCCAGTGTGTGTGCTGAAAATCTGGTTTGGATGGAAGTGCCTTTGTGAACCGACGTTGCCTGTCAAGGCTGAGCCCCGTGGTGGGGTTCTCCAGAGGGAGAGGGCTCCTTGCCAAGAGTAGGTGTCTGTGTCCAAACCTTTGAGTTGTGCAGCGCGCTGGGGACCCTGTCCTGCACCCGGTCCTCCTGCCACGGAGTCCGGAGTTAGGGGATGCTCGGCACGGCGGGGTTCAGGTTGTAGGGATGAGGGTGCTGAGTGATGCACCCAAGCAGAGAGAAGGGGAGAAATAGGTGCTACCAGGAGAGGAGCAGGGACTGGGAACAGGAGGAGAGCAGGAGGGGAGTGGGGACAGCACTGGGGGTTTGCAGCAGCGAGAGGACTCACAGGAGGTCAGAGGAGGTGCTGCTTTAGATTTTTTTTAAAACCCCACAATTTATTTTTTTTTTTTAGACTTTGAATTCAATTCCTTTCCTTTGTGCTCAAACTGTCCAAGAGTTTCAGCTCTGTTGAACCCATTTGTAGCTGGGAATGTGCATCCAAAAGAAGGAATAGTGAGTTGGTGGTTTGCTGGAGGAGTGATTAATTCCTCTCTGCGCTCCGGGGGCTGTACCCGAAAGTGGAAACACACACGTGAGTCTGCTCCGAGCAGCTCTGCCGAAGCCTGGGAGGTGGTGAGCTCCGTGCAGAGATGAGCTCTACTCTGTGTTATCCCCTGCGAAGCTGGCGGAGGATAATTGTGTGTTAACAGAGAGAGGAGCAACAAAGAGAGACTGACTGGCGCTGCAGCTTGTTCCAAGTGCTTTGGATTTTTATTTTTTTTTCTGAAAGCTTAGGAAGGTGTAGAAGTTGCTTGTGGGACTGGAGGTGTTGGGTTTGGGGAGCAGGGTCTCCATACCCCCCCAGGAAACTCGACAGGAGGGAGGTGGGAGGGTGCCCGTCCGTCCTGGCTGGTGACTCAGCCCTGCTGAAGTGATGCCACGGCTCCAAGCCTGAGGTGGTGTTTTCTGGTTTTTTCTGCTTCCAGCAATATTTAGGATGAACTTAAGGAAGCATATTTGAAAACTCACTGAATGGAGAAAGTGAATGTCTCTCTTCCTCTCCTCCCCCAAGAAATAACAGACTGCAAGGATTTATGCTAACAAGGAAATTTATGAAGATCCTGTGTGTTAGAAGTAGGAAAAAAAAAAAAAAGCCCATTAAATATGTAAGGCGGATATGTGTGGAAACTGGGCAAACATTGCCCTTTCCAGATTGGGGGGGAGGTTGTGAAATTGCCTGTTAGTAGAGGAAAAAAAATAATAAATTTTTTTTTTCTCTCATTAATAGGGCAGCAATTTTTTCTGGGGGTGAAATGTTAGTTTTGCAACTTCCTGATGATTGCCTCTGGCTTT